TCCCCCCTCCCCCCCCCCCCGTCTCAGTTCCATCACTTTCCGAGCCCCAGCCCCAGCCTTTTCTCCAGCCCATGTTACTTCCTCTACTCTGAAGGTCTAAAGCAGGTACCAACAGTACTAGTCATCTTATCACTTATTTAAATTAAATAAATGTTGTTATTAATCTATTGGTTTGTAAGATTTTTTCAGGGAGCACTTTTACATTCCTGGCACTGTGCTGGGTGCTTAAAATGTTTTCTTATTTAATTTATGTAATAACTTTGTACTAATTAGGAAACCTGGATCAAGGATGTATTTGCCCAAGTTTCAGCAGGTAAAAAATCGTCCACTACTGAGTTTAAAATACAAGGTATTTATGGGTGGTTGATAGAAATGTATTATTGAATAAATATGCAAACTTGAAATAAAATACCTTATTTTTATATGAGTATTTTAATACTGTTTTTGATCAAGTGGGATGCAATTATTATGTTTTCCTTTTTTATTAGAATTAGATTCACAAAATGAATTGATGAGATTTGCACCATTTTGTCTACATTAGGACAGCTGATTCTGGAGCCTCTTTTTTTTCTTTAATCTTTCAGTTTCCTTTATTATTATTGGTATATTTACATTGTCTGCTACTACTCGTATCAATTTTGGAGAAATTTATGTTTTTCCATAGACATTTCAAGTCAGCTGAATTATACACCCTGCTTTTACCTGAAATTGATATGGCCATCTGTATTTTTTTTTAAAGAATCCATATTTGCCCAGGGTTTATCCTTCAACACTATGTGATTCTAATAGATGTGTTTATTTTAAGCTATATCTTGTTGAATTTTTAAAAAGATAATCTGAAGATCTTTGTTAATAGATTATTCATTCAAGTGATTTTATAAGTTTTATATCTTTGTTTTTCATGAGAGGTGGGTATTTTTGTGGGAAGTAAGGAGTGGCTGCTACTGGAATGTTGACCAGATGTTTTCAGTGACATTTTCTTATAAAACTCCGAACTGAACTTTCTGATTTTGATTTCCCTCTCTTCAGTCTACTTTGCCTATTTCTTATGTTTCTCTTTTTGGTGAATTTATTTGTTTCTTGGAGTTTCCAGTTCTTAAAATCACTCTGTGTCTCACAGAATAAAGCATATTCTTACCCTTGGTCTAGCACTTGTGAGTACGAATCTGGTCATTTTTGACATTTAAAAATATTTTTTATAAGAATCATTGTACTATTATTTATAGAAGTGAAAATTAGAAATAATCTCTAGATTAAACAAAATATTACAGAACACTTATACAGTGAAGCATTACTAAATTGACTAAAATAATTTTGAATAGGAAAATGCTCATGATACAGTGTTGAAGTTTAAGAGACAAGATATGTATGATTCAGATATATAGTATATACACAGAATTAACTATGTTCCAGGCTCCATTCTAAATCTTTTACATAGAGGCCTCATATATGGAAGATTATCAGTGTGTGGCCTTGAGCTAGTAACCTAGCCACTCTAATTTTTATCTCCTCATCTGAAAACTGCTAAAACACCTAAAACACTACATGCTTAATGAAAGAAAAATTCCTATATCTTGCTCAAGAGTGACCATATTCAGAATATACTGATGAGTACCACTTCCAGTTAATGTTTTGCTCACCTGAATTTTTCTCATTAAATTATATGATAGTTCTGTCATCAAACAGTAATATGAGTTCTGGGTTCACTAGTTAATTTAGAAAACTAAAAGACATTGCCTAAATAATTATGCATTCTCTTAGGCGAGGAATAGATTGTGTGTGTGTGAAGGAAGATGTGACCCTTAGTTTTATTCAGTTGAATAGAGTCATGGCATGTTTTCATCTTTAGTAACTTCTCTAACAGTTTTCACTTATTTTGACCTAGTTATTTGAGCCATATTTCAGCTACGTGCTTATTAATGACAATGACTTAAATCCATGTGCCCAATACTTACTATGTGATGAACTGACAGTTAAGAAAATCATTGTTTTTGTTTTTGGTGAGGGAAGGTAATTAGGTTATTTATTTATTTATTCTTAGAGGAGGTACTGAGGATTGAACGCAGGACCTCATGCATGCTAAGCATGTGCTCTACCACTTGAGCTATTCCCTCCCTCCTCAACTGACAATTAAAATAGTGTAATTTGATATAATGCACTATATTATTGCATTATCTTATACTCTTTGAAATAAAGATATCTCGTGATTTAGCAAATTATTTTTCTTACATAGAGATTTCCCAATCTTTTATATCTAAAACTTGTCTCTGTTTTCTTAGTCTTTTTGTAAAGCAATTTGTTTTACCAAAAAAAAGCAGTGAAACTATATCACCAGCAGATGGCAGTAATGAATTATAAATCAGAATTTTAAACATTCAGGTAATTTTTAAAAAGAAAAAGATCACTATTCTTGTAATAGATCAGCTTAATAAATATGAAATGTAGAGAAATTCCAAATGTAACCCTACATAAAAATAATTACAGAGCATATTTCATATATCAAAATAATTAAGATATTTATTTTGGCCAGTGTTTGATTTTCTAAATAATAATAACTTTGCTTTCATTGATTCAGATACTTTTTAATCAAATTTAAACATTTTAATTTTGCACAAATGCCTAGATATAAATTCAAGTGGTTAGTTTAGTTATATCTGTATCTAGTTTGGCTATCTAGATTAGGAAAGATAGAGGTAGTTCAGTGAACATCATTTTAGAAATGTTAAGTTTTCCACTTATAATTTGATAATTTAAAATACCAATTTCATTTTAACTGACAAACTGCATAAGAGATGGGTTTCTGTTGGTTTTGTTTCACAGTTTCTTATACATTAAAGTGCTTTTTTCTCCTCATATGGTGCAGGGAGTTGGAATTGACATCCAAATGTTTATGTATCTCTAGTATCATCATTAGTCCCAAAGATGATAGCAAAATTCTTAGGAACTCATAATTATGCTAACTATAATTGAATCACTTATCCAAGATTTTTTAGAGCATTTTGATTTAGTAATTTTATTCATTCCAATTAAGAAGTTTTAAAAAGGTGAACTCAATGGGATTCATTTTTATACTTTTGTAAGACTTCCTATAAGTTTACAAAGATGAAAAAGTATATGTTTAATTGTATCTCTGTTTTTGTCTCAAAAATAGAATGATCATGGATATAAGCTTTTTGGTGGCTATTTATTTTCTAATTGGTCTGTTTTTATCTTTAAAAGATCCTTTCAAATTCTTCTTTAGTAAGTTGCTTCCACTAGAAGAAATGTCTTTGCACATGTATATTTTATAAAACAACTGCATCAGTCTAAAACCACTATGTATCTTGGATTGATTCATTTTTAACTAGCACATTTGCTGCTATTGAATTACTTTATAGAGCCTGTTTAAATTCTAGTTGGATGCAGGGGCTTTTTCTTAGGAGAAATTGGAAAGTCCCCAAGTTGTCATGAAGAATACATCTTGAATGTAAATGCATCTGTGTGTGATGCTTTGCATAATACTGTCTTTTCATCCGTAGGAGAAAAGGTATCTATAATAAACTGGGATTTCTAGGAGTTCTATTCTACTTCCTGGGTCCATGGGGGACCTATTCTCCTTTTAAACTGGAACCCTCTCAGCCACCCAAACTCAGTTTAGTTCCCCAAACCTATTTCAGATGAAATGAGACCCCCTTCACCTTGAACAGCCTTATATAGGCATGTTTCATTCAAAGGAAAGGAGGTAATCCATTAGTTAATTGGGAGAATTCCTTCACCGCCTGCATGGGAAGACTGCCCAGTTGCATAA